TCAGATTTTAGTTTTTTTTAACCTTTTCTATAGTTGGCTCCATTAAAAGTTATCTGTGGTCAAAAACTAAATATTTATTTCTATGTTTTCCACAAGTTGTATCCCTCACCTAATAAACGTAATGATCTAGAAGTTTGTAAACTTATTGAAGATGCCCAAAGGTTTGAGACTACCTCAGTATGCTAACAGTTTCTATGAATATGCACTTTGTTGTGTCACAACTCGCTGAGTTTGCCTTCTTTTTTTATAAATTCTTTATTTATAAAACAGCATATACAAGGAAAGTACATCTATAGGATGGAAACATCAGAGATGAGAAGTAAACATATAACACACTTGATCATCATGACCACAAATATTCGTAAAGTAATTATTGATATAGGCTATAGCAGTGGCAAACCAAATGCCAACCGTGCCCCAATGGGTTATAGGTAGCATTGAGATTGTACTTGTAGTAGGACAAAGCTCAGAATCCCAGGTGCATAGGTAAATCCTATATTTTTGTTGGTAATCAAGAGAATGAAACCAAGGAGGGGGAAAAAAAGACATACAGGGGGGTATAGAGAAACAGGGGGAGAGGAGGGAGAACAGCAAGAGGGGTCAGGAAGGTAAGAGAGGTAAGCTAGGAGGAGGAGGTAGTCGTCGTCGCTCAAGATTCCATAATTGTACGGTATTCAGCAGTTGTGGTGTATTAGATCCAGTAATACCAGGTGGCCATGAATCTGGAGGAGGTGCCCTTGATGGAACTGATAAGATCTTCCATGAGTCTGATATCGTTTATTTTGGGGAACCAGAGCCGAACCGAAGGCCGGGCCTCCTGCTTCCATAATAGGGGTATACATGTGCGCGCAGCATTTAGCAAATGCACTGGCACGGATTGAGAATATCCCTTAGGCGTATAATGGTTATGGTGGAGGAGAAAGAATGCCGGGTCACTCGGAATGGGTCAGTCCATTAATGTCTGAGAAATCAGTCATGCCTGTGTCCAAAAAAAAACGCCAATTTCGGGCAGGACAAAAAGATATGGAGTATGACTGCAGGAGAGGAGCCGCACCACCAGCAAGTGTCAGGCAAGTCCCTGATCATCTGGTGAAGTCTATGAGGGGTCCTGTACCATTGCATTATGATTTTTTAGCTTAATTCCTGATACTTATTACAAATGGATGACTTCAGGGAGAGCCGCAGCATCTTAGTCTGTTCTGCCTGTGTAAATTGGATCCCCAATTCCTGTTCCCACTGCTCAAAAAAGTGTAATAGCAATTCTAAATCTGGAGACAGCGCTAACTGGTAGCATAGGGACGGGGTTTTGGCAATGGGTCCTGTGTCACAGCAAGTTTGTTCGAAGGCGGAGAGAGTCTGCCTTCTGAACTACAACTCAACATCTGAACAATGTAACATTATCATTGCTTGCTGGTCGCAATGCATGATGGGATATATAGTCTTGAGAAATCAAGATTGCATCACATCAAGCAGCAGGGAAAGAGATACAATGCACACTGGGAATCCAGGAAGTTGAGGAAAGTGATAGTCAGACGGAAGGCAGCACTCACTACATAAAAGGGATTTTTTCAAGTAAGCTTTGATTACATTATCAAAAACAAATCTCGTTTGTATTCCTATTACAATGCTGATGTTAGAACAGGAGAGGATACAGTATGATGTGACTTTAGAACTCCATTAAATCCCTGCTGCCTCTTGGCTTTGATTGGCAAGTTCTTTTCGAGCTGAACAACAGGAAGACCGCTAATTGCCCAGCAATATACATGACATTTTTTCTGGTAGAGTCTTCACTGGATGATGCAGATAAATACCTCTTAATGAATAAAATATTGATTAAAATAGACTTACAGAAAGACTCCAGAAAGAAAGTTGACAGCATACAAAATGCAGTGTGAACATAGCCATAGGGGGGTCACCCAACACCACCATGTTTAGTGCATACACATCCCTCTTTTCCAATCCTCTTTCCCTTCAATGATATACAGTACCAGTAGATGCATGCGTTATGTAGAGTATACATACTAAATAGGAAGGAGGTGTTGGGGGCTGGTGACTGCTTTTAATTACAACTAAAAAAAAAAAAACAGACACTACAAAGGGAAAAATTTAAATTGGAAGCAACTCCCTAGAGAACAGAGAAAATACTGCATTCCATGATTATGTTTTTTTCTTTTTTCTTTACAGAAATATATAATTTTACAAACAACTTCAGTATTGTAGAATTCCTTTCTTCTGTGCTAGTGCCAAATTTCATATATTTACATGAAAACGCATTAAAATGGGGTTAATCAGTTTTACCGTAACCTTTTCAACTGCTGGCAATCAAGAATTTCCCTTTGCATTATACATTCTGAAAATGTGGCGTATGGGGAATACTCAGCGGGATTGATTGTGATTACCCCATGCACAGAGCAATCGGAGATCCGTTTATAGCAGCGCAGTGCATTCATGGTTATAAAAGGTCGGAACTGATTGGATGCTGTGGATTTTTGCACATATATCAGGATAAAATATGATCCGTTTGTGCTCAGTTAAAGCAAAACTTTATAGTGTCAGTGCACACGTCCTTTGGTTCTGACTCACACTGACCTTCGTCGCTTCTCTCCTACTTCTCCATGACAGCAGCAGACTCCGTTAGCATTTAACCTCCTCCATCTAAAGTGACACTAAACTCAGGAGTTAAATCTTAAAAATACATTCAAGTATTCTAACTATTAATAAAATGTATCTTATTTGTGTATCACTCGGCTGTAGATCCTCAAATCCTCTCTGAATTGGTGCTGACACTGTCCTTCCTTCTGGGGGGTGGCTACTTTTGTTCCCCATGGTCCCTGTGTGTGTTGTAAAGTAGTCACCGATCCAAGTTCAGTCCTGTGATGGACCACAACCTCAGTACAAATTAGTGAACTGAATATAAATTATGATTTGCTGAAGCTGGGAAAAGGGGCTTTTAGGAAAACACCACAGATGTTCAAACACATTAAAATGTAATTTACAATTTTATTTTAGCCCCTTAAGGACCAACAATGGAATTATTCTATCATCGTTGTCCGTTCCTTAGGGGTTTAAGCTTGCGTCATGCGCTAAATGAGCACTTTAAATATGCATATGTCACATCAATTTAAAGCACTTTTTGTCCTTTAAAAAATGGTATATAATAATTGCTTTGGTCCTTAAAAGAGAACTATGGGGTAAGGTGTTTTTTCCCATAGTTCTCTTTAGGGTCACGGGATACTAGCGTCCTCCCGTGACCCAAATCTCAGTATATTGCGGGTTGATACACTGAGAGCGTCGCAGCCGAGACAGATTCCGACATTACTGTTGTGATCCACCCACCTGCGTGAGTGACAGCGGGCTCTGTCTATCTAGAGTACAATACAAAAACACAGAAAATCCCCAGCTCACCTGCCAGCTAGCCTGCAACCAAACAAGTAGCCCTGTCAACAGTATGCGTTAAAATCAGAGGTTTTAGTTGCACAAACTTTTGGCCAAAAATATGTAGAAGCCACTCTGCCGCGCCAAGGCACCTCTGCAAGGTGTGGTCCTAACTCTATGTATATGAGTCTCCAAGTGTGAGCATATTAATGCAGTCGATAAATTGCATGCAGGTGTACCAGGAGGTAGCCAACTCCTAATAAGGTGAAGGGACGCACTGGAGGCCCAGCAACCAAAAATGCACGCTGGGACCCCAGTGCGTCCTCTGTCTATCTAGAGGCAGAGCCAGCTGTGCCCGCCCCCTCCCCTGTCCGTTCCTCCAGTCAGCGCTGGAGGATCGGAGAGGGGAGGGGGGAATCCCTGCGGGGATCCGTGACTGACAGTTAACGCTCACTGCAGGGAGATGATCGAGAAGTCAGCTTCTTTGTCACCGGACAGCTCTAACTATAAGGATGAGTGGAAATCACTCACCTCATAGTTACCCTGTAATCAACATAGTTAAAAGAAAGTCCATAAAAACAATTTACAATTTGGTCTCTCTTATATCCATATTTTAGTGTTCTATATAGGGAGCCAAGGTAAGCAATGTTCATATAATTGCTGATGTGGCTTCCTCAGGAGGATTTAAAGGAGAACTATGAGTTGAGTGCTTTTCACTCACCTCATAGTTCTAGCCGACCTGTGACAATGAGACTGTCACAGGTCGGCTCAGTAGATCGGGAGGTGAGCGAACACATACCAGCGTTCGCTCACCTC